CGGTGACATTTCACTATAATTGTCCAGGTCTCTATCTTAATAAACATTCACATGCTTCATCAATGAAAGCAGTGAGTAACAAACTGTTACCCGAGCAGAACCCATGGGTCTGGTTCAAGCATACACCTACTTCATCAATGAAAGCAGCGTGTAACGAAGTGTTACCCGAGCAGAACCCATGGGTCTGGTTCAAAGTTTATATATAAATGGTGTTGATTTATATGATTAAAGAGGATTCAACACCCTACTTTACTGCATAGACTGGGCTAATAAAGATGGGAGTACGACAATGTGTACACAGGACCTCGATTTTGCATCCCATCCAAACAACTATGTGCTGTCCCTTGCCACCCTTGCCAAGGAGGAACCATGCTGGAAAATCCTGATGAACTTTCTTGGCCAACTACGGGGTCAGGGAACCAAACAGAGAACTTCAGGTTAACCACCAAACATCTTACTCACTGAGCCATTGTGGCTCCTTAATTCAACAGAATCAGGTTAAAGGTCACCGGAAAAGCTTCATGAATTTTTTAAATAATGCTAGTAATTATCTCAACATATCCTTTTCATAAGTATAACACGAACCCGAATGTCAATATTACCTGCAACAAGTAAATTTCAACGTAATTAATTTCCACTGTTCTCCGTGAGTAGTCGTAACTTTCAGTCAATAAACAATCTGTGACGTCATTTTAGTCCTTCTGCTCATATTCTAGTCTACAGTTGTATGATCAGAAGGACTAAAATGACGTCACAGATTGTTTATTGACAGAAAGTTACAACTACCCCCGGGGGAACAGCAGAAATTACTAACGTTGAAATTTACCTGTTGCTGTTAATATTGACATGGAAAGGATATGTTGACATAATTGAAGCTTTTATACCGTGACCTTTAATATACTGTGCATTATTGACACATGATTGTGGAATACGGTGATAACCAGGGTAAATGATGATTAATAGTACAATTCGTAATTAGACATTAATTAACTTATCCAGGCCATAATCAACGCTCGATGTCATTACTAGCCTGTGATATTTACTGCATTAGGATCTAATTTGCTGCTCAACTTTCATTCATGATTAAATCATGAAATGGATAATCGAGACTATGTTTTTTACATTGTACAGACTTAAAGTAGCTAAGTCTCTAACATTGAAAACACGATTTATTTGTTGGTTTAAATCAACATTGATGTTGTGATCTTACCGGGAAAAGATGGGCGTCTGATATCCAATATTTAAAGACAAAATAAACATTTTACATTTCATATTCTTATGTGGAGAGCATGTCCAATAAATACTATCGGCGTAGACTGGAATAACCGGACGCTAGAGATTGAAATTCGATTGAGAATACTGGCGTATTTCGCCGAACCTAACTGATTAGAAATTACAGTAAAAACAGAAACGATTGAATGTAAATCAATTTATATACATCCATATTACATTATTATATGCGTTGCGACCCATTTGTGTCATTTTCTAGGTCACAAATATTAGTGACTTAGCTCCTTTAAGTAATTATGATCAAGGCTAGGTCGAAAATTCAATCTCTAAATTCTCGGTTTTTAACTCCTATTATAGTAATAACTGCCAGCTCTTTATCTAATCTCCCATAAAGTATCTTTAACAGTACAACTGGACGAGACGACCTATACCCTATGGGAGTAGAATACATGGACAGAGATTTAAATAATATAATATTTGTATAGTCTGATATTGCTTACAGATAGCTGATAGACTATAATAATATACTCTGATGCTGCTATAGTTAGGATGATTTGTACAATCGATCATCCAGCTGATATAAGTTCAGTTCAAGGTTTTCATTATAATTTGTTCATGTCAATCTTATAAAAACAATTCTGACAGCCTTTATTTGCTTTAACAGTTAATCTTGTAATCGAATGGTGTTGGTTCATTTAGTAAGACGCTGGCTTGCTAACCTGGAGGTCTCGGGTTCGCTTCTGGTGTTTCCAATTAAGGGGGGGTTGGATGGCTGAATGGTTAGCTTGCGCGCGCTGTATCATAAAGTCTGTCATTGAGTCGACTGGCGTGGTTTCGAATCCCCGATTGTACGTGGCAAGGAGTAGGGTCGCCTGTCCAACCTTGTGGGTTTTCTCCGGGGCCTCCGGTTTCCTCCCACTGCTAAAGACCCCTACGCGCAAGCGAATTATGTAAATAAAATTAAACCATATGTTAGTCCCGAAATGACCTAGTTTGTGTTGAGTGGACGTTAAACCCCATTTCTCAGTTTCTTCAGTTTCCTCCCATTATAGACCCTTATTTATGCGCTATTGTTGAAATAAAACTGAACAATATGGTAGTTCCGAAAAATCTAGTTTGTGTCTAGCGCCCCCCCCCCCCATCATCCCTCCCCTCTCTGTCTTTCAATGTCATTGAATGTTTATGTGGAAAGTCTAGAAGACAAGTCGATATTCCAAATGTCTAATTTTAACTGATAAATCAGTTGATTACACTTTGTCTTCAAAAGAATCTTATCATCACCTAATTAAATACTCACATTCCACCATTTGCAATTATTATCAATCTGATTCAAATACAAATCTATATTTCCTTTCGTTTTTTATAATTTCTATGGCCTCTACTACACGAAGATTTGACTGGTTGTAAAGGAAGGTCACTTCAGGGGTCATACGAGCGGCTTTTGACCCTATAACGTCAGACATTGATTAATCAATCAGTGTTGACGTTTCTAGTGGTTTACCCATAGCCGTAGCAGACCGTTCCATTGGCTAATCCCTCACTTCATCAAGAATGCGGGTTATATAACAACTCTTCCAGATCCAAGTGTAGTAAAGACGGGTAAAACTAAATTTTGAACTATAAAAAACGAAACGAAATAGGATCTGTGTTTTGATCCGATTGAGTGTTTGCGAGACAAGAACATTTACAGCTATTAGTGTGCACAGCGTCAGTGATATTCAGTGTTATACAACCTGCTGCTTCATTTAATCTTATAGATTGTTTAGCAACTCAAGATACTAATTTCTCATAATCACCACATAATCATTGGTAAACATTAACTGTGAGTAGTTAATACATTGATTTTTATAATATACTATTTAATTTTATGTTCAGTAGTGGAATACTGCGTTTTATCAGTGAAATAAAAGTGTTATTCCACTGGCTAGCAGTAGTCCATGTTGTTTTTACCTAAAATGATTGTAAAATCATAAAATAAATAGAACATTTGTCGTTTTGTCGTGAATAACATATTTTATTTCACCTCAAAGCAAGAAAACGTTTATATTTTCACGAATATGTTATTCACGACAAAACGACAAATATCCTCTATATACAAGAATTAAGCCAACTAACAAATACTATTAAGACGCTTATAGTTTTTTTCCAATATATTTTAATAATACAGAAGCTAGGGATTTGGGTGTAACCTCCCACATGAACACAATGCAGTCAATACTTCAAATCTTTTACATAAACAATATGGTTGGGAAGATGACTCAACTGTTTTCAATTCATCATATCTTTGGGAAGAAAACTCATTTTTTTTCAATTTATCATATCTTTGGGAAGAAAACTCAACCATTTTCAATTTATCATATCTTTGGAAAGAGAACTCAGATATTTTCAATTCATCATATCTTTGGGAAGAGAACTCACCCATTTTTGGATCAGTTTTCCTTTTAGAGATTCCACTTTCAAAATAGTGCTGTTTGCAAGGGCTTAACAGTCCCTCAAATGACGATTAGAAATTTTAAGGAAACGAAAGAACTTGTTTGATTTTTTGAATCGCCATTTGTCTCACAATTATTAGCAGTGTTTAAAATACAGATGTGAAGTCATCCTTTGATGTTGGGTACCATTATTTCACCCCAAAATATGTGGTTTCATTTTAACCCAGTGAATTTTGTAGGCCATTGAATTTGGGCCCGGGTGAAGAGAGAGAGAGAGAGATGGGGTTTAACGTCCACTCAACACAAACTAGGTCATTTCGGGACTAACATATGGTTTAATTTTATTTCAATAATTCGCTTGCGCGTAGGGGTCTTTAGCAGTGGGAGGAAACCGGAGTATCCGGAGTACCCTACTCCTTGTCACGTACAACCGGGGATTCGAAACCACGCCAGTTGACTCAATGACAGACGGGCCTTATGATACAGCACGCACATGCTAACCATTCAGCCATCCAATCCCCCGGGTGAAATTAGCTACTTCAAACTAAACTGTCGAGTATCAACCCTTTTGGGTCGTGGTAGCCAGAACTAGATTATTTTTTTTTTTCTATAAAATTTAAAACCCTATATGTTGCTAAGCTTATAATATTTACATCATTCATGTATCTGGCTTTTCGGAAGTGATTTATATAATTGACTTGTTTCGGTATCCCGTGAATAAAATTATATTGTTTAACCATACATTATGCAAGAGCTAAATCTGCCTATTGCAGGTCTTTCTTTATGTCTCAAATGTTATCTGGATTACTAATTAGACTTTAATTAACTTATCCAGGCCATAATCAAGTCTCGATGGCATTGGATTTCTCTGATATTAAATAGATTAGAACAGTTCAGACATATTTTGATTTAATCTAAAAATGGAAGAGCGAGACTTAGCTTCGAACAACCAGTATGTACGGTGGTTGAAATTATTGCACACGTCTTGTCAAACCTTCAAAGGCTATAGATATCTTCGCTCGCAATAGAGTAATTTGAATGAAATTTTCAAAGTATTCATTTTACATTATCTATTTTCGATCTATTATAGCAAGAATGGCTAGTTCTTTATCTAAATCTTACATAATGTATCTTTATTGACTTTAAATAATAAAGTCATTTATATACTGACTTGTTTCGGTATCCGTGAATAAAATATTGGTTAAATAAAAATCTCAACTTTTACCAGTTAAAATGTTCAATGTTTTGGTATCCGTGAATAAAATATTGGTTAAATAAAAAAAACTCAACTTTTACCAGTTAAAATTAAAATGCTCAATGGAATAAAATGGTACTTACGTGATATGGCATTATACCCCATACACTCGGACGTCATAAACTGTCTAATCAGTGTCGACTTTCCTGCTCCAAGACTTCCAATAATAGCCACTTTAAAATATGACGGCGCGGAAGACCCCGGCTGACTGTCCTCGGACGTGACACTTTGGGTCCTTTGTTTTTTGTCCGGTTCTGTCACGGCACTGCCACTGGACATCAGACTGTTAGTGCTCTTATTCTTAAAAGAGTCGCCGCGATTTATCACATGTTTCGACGTGGTTTTAAAGGAACGAACGCGACACAGCTGATCTTTGGAGATCAAAGAAGTTTTGGACCCTTCTTCTGGAAGTTTTAGAAACAGTTGACAATTTGGAACACTGTTTGTTCTCTGGCGGGCTTTTTTTAGTTGTAAGTCGTTTGGTCTGGCACGTGTTCTGAAAGAACAGGACCTGGAATGGGGAGCTGACGATATCTCCATGGCGGGAGTTACATTACGTGATGTTTACCAAGAAGCTTGATTTATTATTTGAAAAAAAATCGCATGCATTGACTGTTAATTCCGGTTATCACCCATTCATTGTCTCGCAACACTTTATCGTCGGGTCAGTTTCCGAAAATTGTAATTTAGTAAACGGCTTCCTTCTTTAAGTGACATGCACGCACACTGAAATTATAAAAGTACATGCGCATTCCTGTCTATTTGTTATTTAACACGCAGAGAATTCGAATAAACCGTCCCACTCGTCTATTTGTTTTCACTGTATCTAATTCTCAAAACAAAGTACTGTAAATCACCAGCAAACGCATTCAGAACCAATCAATGGAAGCCGATGGACATACTACTAGTGTATTTAAAAATAATTCTACATTGCCGAGGTTCACTAATTAGCCCAATCATTTATTACTGACGATAAAATCAACAAAAATCAAAGATTCCATTCACAGACCACCTCCCGTCAATACATATCAAACACAACTCTCTTTGAAAGCTTGATAAGAGTTTTATGCTTTAATATCCCCGTGTATAATACTACAGCTGTAGCGGCGTGCTAGTTTCCCCATCCATACAGTTCAATAAAGTTGATTCAGAAGAGGAGAGATGGTCTTATATCAGTAAAAACAAGTGGGACCACGTGGTATTCTATGAAAGGCTGATTGTATAAGATCGGCTATAACCTACACAGTGGTCTTGATCGGAATCACGTGGAACTAAATAAACCATATATTCTTAATATAATCTTTACCATCGAGACACGTGATAATATAGTACATTTAGATAATTAGAGATCGACCAATCTATTAAAAACCCCACGTCAAATTAATAAAACATTGTAGGCTCAATGACTAATTGTTTCTTGTCAGATTTCTATTATTATTTTGATCCATTATGTTTTTTATTCGATGAAATTGTAATTTTATTAGAGAGATTTGTAAAGATCGTGATGGCACCTGAATTATGTTGCAAGTCTCTTACAATGGGGACGAAATAAATCAATGTAGTATAAAATTATGCGATGTTTATAGATAAAAGTAATTAAAAAGTAAAGGAGAGGGAGAGAGAGAGAGTAATTGGTTAAACGAAAACTCGACACAAAACTAGGTCATTTCGGGACTAACATATGGTTCAATTTTATTTCCATAATTCGCTTGCGCGTAGGGATCTTTAGCTGTGGGAGGAAACCTGAGGACCCGGAGAAAACCCACGAGGTTGGACAGGCGACCCTACTCCTTGTCACGTACAACCGGGGATTCGAAACCACGCCAGTCGACTCAATGATAGACTTTATGATACAGCGCGCGCACGCTAACCATTCAGCCATCCCCCCCCTGCTTTTCGGCACCGGCCGGGATAATGGAGACGGGCATGATACAATGTACCATGAGGAAAATTATCTATTTTTGAACTATTATAGCAAGATCGGCCAGTTCTTATCTAAATCTTACATAGGCTAATGCATCTTGAAAACATTGTACACTTTTATGGACACATATTTACCAATCTAATTAAAACACAGATCCTGTTTCGTTTCGTTTTTATAGTTCAAAATTTCGTTTTACTTGTCTTTACTACACTAGGATCTGGAAGAGTTGTTATATAACACGCGTTCCAATTGATGTCAGCCAATGAAACGGTCTGTTACGACGAGTTTTTGGGGTGAGTTGCATGGAACTGTGGGTAACCCACTAGAAACATCAACGCTCATTGGTTAATCAGATGTCTGACGTCATAAGGCCAAAAGCCGCTCGTATGACCTCTGACGCGATCCCGCATTACAACTGGTCAGATCTTCATGTAGTAGAGGCCATCGAAAGTATAAAAAAAAAACGAAATGTAGATCTGTATTTTAAAGTAGCAATTTCATATTTTTAAGTTATATTTTTAAAATTTATTAAAATAAAGCCTTAAAATAGATGGTATCTATAAACAGTCCTACCTTGTTAAAGAATAATCCTATTAATCCTATAATTCACTATTGCCAGTTGAGAAATTGGCAAAAATATCATTTTCATCTTCAAATTCCAACGTTTGAAGATAACTACTCCATGGTGGAGAATAGAAAACAAGGGAGGTAATTGGGAGGTAATTGTGTTATTATTTCCGGGGTGAATGCTTTTTAAGTGGAAGAATAATACCTATGATCGTATAATAGTGAGTTGACAACCTATTGAGCAAAAGACATAGAAATAATTATGTTTTGACTTTCTTAGAAAATTTGCAATTGTAACTTTAATCAGATTTCATATTTATTGGATTTATTACCGTGCAGCGTTTCGATGAGGAAATCCCCGTCTTTTTTCTATAGGGGTGGATGGCTGAATGGTTAGCAGGTGCGCCCTGTATCATAAAGTCTGTCATTGAGTCAACTGGCGTGGTTTCGATTCCACGGTTGTACGTGACAAGGAGTAGGGTCGCCTGTCCAACCGCGTGGGTTTTCTCCGGGCCCCCCGGTGTCCTACCACTGCTAAAGACCCCTACGCGCAAGCGAATTATGGAAATAAAATTGAACCTTATGTTAGTCCCGAAATGGCCTAGTTTGTGTCGAGTGGACGTTAACCCCCGCCCTCTCTCTCTCTCTCTCTCTCTCTCTCTCTCTCCGTCTTTTGCTTCATCGTCGAAACGACACATAGTAATAAATCCAGTAATTGTATATCCATAAAATTGTACATTGTGTAGTCTAATAAATAGTTCAAAGATGCTTGAATTCATTTAACCTAGAATTGTATTGATTTTACTATATTAAACATACATTATGCAAGAGCTAAATCTGACAATTGCGGGTCTTTCTTTGGGCCTGAAATGTTATCTAAATTATTAATTGGAACACATGAAACATAGCGGCACACCCGGCTAAATATATATACAAAATATTTGAATTTTGCAAAATAAAAACATAACAAGTCCGACGGCAGACAACCATAGGCACGGACTAGTCATAGACATATATAATTACTCAAACTAAATAAAAAAAAACACAGCTATGAATTTACGTGTAGACACTAGTCAAAACTCAATTAGCATCATGTGGTTTTTCGCATTTTCTTAGTGTGTCGTTCATAATTTCGCGACACACTTAGGAAGATCACGCGGCACACCTGTTGAGAATCACTACATGAGAGAGAGGGGGGGGGGAGGGAGAGTGAATGAGTTTAACGGTACTTGGTAACTCTTAAAGGCCCCGTCAGACCGGGGTGGCGTCCTTATTGCGCTGCTGCGACAAACGTAAACACATCGCGAGAACATGTCCCCAAAAATTATAGACTTGAAAAATTTCACGTTCTTACCGCGACCTGTGCGATTATACCGCATTCTCACGGCGCTTTTCCCGACCTCTCCGCGCTTATGGCTTTTCTCTTGAGATCTTTTGGCTTGGCAACGGCGATCATTGGCGAAGCCGCGGCGCCCTAACCACGCTCAGGGCTGAGCTAATCTACTTAAAATTGGGGCCATCCGGTGGCGGGTTGCTTATGAGCTTTTGTCATGTAAATAAATCTTTAAATAATAATTTAAATAACATTTGAAGCCAAAAAGGAGATCTGCAATGGGCAGATTTAGTTAGGGCCTACTTCATAGTGCACCTCTAACTGTTGTTATTTTGACAGTTGCTATTGATATAGTATTATGTAATTATCAAGGCATTTCTATCATCGTTTTCAAAACTTACAGTTGTTCGGGTCTTTTAGATCTCAGATTCGAATCCAAAATATTGATTGATGTTTTACTGTTTAAATATTATTACAGAAAGTTGCAGACGTTAAAACCAGACAACTGTAGCAGGTATAGCAGACACACAAAACATGTTTCGTGCTCTCGGCCAAGTAGGATAGACACGTAGATTTACCAAAATATGCACCAAAATATGCAATCATATTTTCTCGTTGGTATAAAGCCTTGGTCATATCACCCTACGACGCAACAAAACAGACGGCGACTGGTTTACGATCAAGTGAAACTCATCAGTCGTGACAATCTGGGCGACCTGAGCGCTCTTACGACTCCAGCCGCCTCCAGTTTCTCGGAGTCGTACATGTTCTACTCCTACGGCTGGAGATAACTAGTTGTCTCTACCTTGAGTCGGCGCCTCGCTGAGGTAGCCAATTCGGTTGTTTGGGACTTTGATATTTGGGCCCCCAATCTGTTTCAAACATAGATCCTATTTCGTTTCGTTTTATATAGTTCAAAATTTCGTTTTGCTTGTCTTTACTACACTAGGACCTGGAAGAGTTGTTATTACCGGCGTTTTGGTTGAAGTGAGGGATTAGCTAATGAAACGGTCTGTTACGACGAGTTCTTGGTGCTATGCACGGAACTGTGGGTAAACCACTAGAAACGTCAACACTGATTGATTAATCAATGTCTGACGTCATAGGGTCAAAAGCCGTTCGTGCTACTCCTGACGCGACCTTCCAGTAGAACATATCAGATCTTCAGGTAGTGTAGGCCATCGAAAGTATAAAAAAAAACGAAACGAAATATAGATCTGTATTTTAATGAGATTGTTTGGCCCCTGACTGCAGAGATAAAACATTCTAAATTCATCTAAAATTAGCCATTTGTCTCAGCAAGTTCACTAATGTTAGCTCGAACTTCCTTTGTCACCATCAGCTGTCAATATATTGCAACATGCGTCTGATCCCTTGGGTCAGTTGCCGGAAGTATTCTGAATGCAGTAATTGGATTACTCGCACTATTTTTCCAATGAAATGAAATGAAATTGGGTTTAACGTCGTACTTTTTATGCTCCGACTAGTCTATTGAAGACGGGCATACCCATGTAGTGGGCTTTGAGAGAAATTTTGCCCTGACAGTGGCACTACAGCCTAGGGTTTTGAATCCATCCGCATGATTATACATTGTACCTTGCCAGGCTGTACGTCCTACACCATTGACAAAGCGGGGGGGGGGGGAGACGGCGGAAAATTCCAATGAACTAAACACTGCCCCTTGCCAGGCCCTTCGACCTAAACCACTGATAAGGGGGAACCACACCAGAACAGTCCGTTGAACTTTCTCAGGATCGAACCTCCAGGTTAGCGAGCCAACGTCTTACTCACTAAGCCACCGTGGCTTCCTATTTTCCATGGCGGAACAACCAAACCGCCCGTACTTGCTGGTGATGGGATGGGGCGGTGGATGCTACTTGCCCTTATTTTTCGAAAGTTTACTACGGTTAATTTAATTTTGGAACTGTGACTGAGAAATAAAATTTTACCACATGTTTCCAACCTCGTGGGTTTTCTCCGGGTCCTCCGGTTTCCTCCCACTGCTAAAGACTCCTACTCGCAAGCGAATTATGTAAATCAAATTAAACCATATGTTAGTCCCGAAATGACCTAGTATGTGTCGAGTGGACTTTCTCTCTTATCTATGATATTACGTCATAGAATTTAAAATGGCGACCCCCTCTTTCGCTCTCTCTATAAGACATCTCCCAGAAATATCTATTATTGAGAAAAACGACAATGATGCATTTTATCAAAAACAGTCCATTAGACTATCTGAACAGCTGCTACACCTTGGCATAAAGATAAGTCATGAAACGACGAGA